TTTGTGTTGAGTATCCAGTAGTAGGACTGAACAGTGCTTATCTAATTCTGATCCAGTTTTTAATAGGACGGCCTTGGTGGCCATATTTAATATGTTATGTTAACCGAGACTGACTTGTATCATTTTCAAATTAAGTATGCGTGCAGCCATAGTACATGACGTCTTCAATACCACATGTGACATTTTTTCATGGATGTTAAACAACAACAACAACCACATGTGGCGATCATGTATCCACATGACTGGTGCACTTTGATGGGCTCTAAAACTGCTGAGTTTGCAAAGTTGACTAATAGTTTTGAACTCTTGACCTACCTTTGCCTGTGTTTCGGATGTGTACCATCATAGGTTCACGAAACTCATTGTGTTGTCATTTTGATCTGGATATATGGGATTAATTTGAAGGCAATGGTCCATAACATATTGCCCATAATCTTTGTGTTGTCAAGAATAGAATACTTCAGTGCTGTTATAAATGGCACCATTGCAATCAGTCACCTACAATGCATGCAGAGTAATGCTGTAGATCCAAGTCAACTGATCACATCACAACAGTTCTGGAGTCTGCCTTAATTCCTGACCATCACCTACATATCACTGACCAATCTGATTAGGTACTACCGGTATATCAAGAGCCTACTGTCAACACACAAGCTCAGCCACACTCTCTAGACAACCAATCAGATGAATCTAAAGGTTCCAGAGACCAGAACCAAACCAGGAGATAGATCCAACAGAGCCCAGGGTACTAATCTTCCTCTCTATAACATCAACTCAAACAGCTGACCAACTTGAAGATTCCTGTGTTTCCTGAAGCCAGTGTGTGCCGTAGAAACCTTTGTATTCCTTTTGGACCCCGTCATAACAGTGCTACCCAGAGCAGCTCTCAAGTTTGAAGCCAGGCGCTGTATAAAAAACACCTGGTATCATGGATCTGATATTGTAGATTCATAAACGGGTTAGGCGTCTGACTTTGTGTGTTGCCGATTAGGTGCCTGACTCTTAGGGTGTGGGTTCGAATCTTGAATGGGATACAACCCAACAAAAGTGCTAGAATCTGTACTTTACTAAGAAAGTGTAAGCCCAAATATAACATATGTTACATATGATCACTTTCTATATGGCATTGTGTATTCATTTCCATCACACCTAGTGTGACCATCCACACAACCATATCCATCACACCTTGTGTGACCATCCACACAACCATATCCATCACACTTTGTGTGACCATCCACATAACCATATCCAACACACCTTGTGTGACCATCCACACAACCATATCCATCACACCTAGTGTGACCATCCACACAACCATATCAATCACACCTTGTGTGACCATCCACACAACCATATCCATCACACCTAGTGTGACCATCCACACAACCATATCAATCACACCTTGTGTGACCATCCACACAACCATATCCATCACACCTAGTGTGACCATCCACACAACCATATCCATATCCTTTGTCACACCATCCACACCATCCATATCCAACACACCATGTGACCATCCACACAACCATATCCATCACACCTAGTGTGACCATCCACACAACCATATCCATCACACTTTGTGTGACCATCCACACAACCATATCCATCACACCTTGTGTGACCATCCACACAACCATATCCATCACACCTAGTGTGACCATCCACACAACCATATCCATCACACCTAGTGTTACCATCCACACAACCATATCCATCACACCTAGTGTCACTGTCCACACAACCATATCCATCACACCTAGTGTGACCATCCACACAACCATATCCATCACACCTAGTGTGACCATCCACACAACCATATCCATCACACCTAGTGTGACCATCCACACAACCATATCAATCACACTTTGTGTGACCATCCACACAACCATATCCATCACACCTAGTGTGACCATCCACACAACCATATCCATCACACCTAGTGTGACCATCCACACAACCATATCCATCACACTTTGTGTGACCGTCCACACAACCATATCCATCACACCTAGTGTGACCATCCACACAACCATATCCATCACACCTAGTGTGACCATCCACACAACCATATCCATCACACTTTGTGTGACCGTCCACACAACCATATCCATCACACCTAGTGTGACCATCCACACAACCATATCCATCACACTTTGTGTGACCATCCACACAACCACTCCCATCACACCCAGTGTCACCATCCACACAACCACATCCATCACACCTAGTGTCACCATCCACATTCCCGTCATATCCATGGATTATCAGGGTGTCATGATAATAATGACAAGTAGATAAGACGTAAGAACACCAATTAACACTCTAAAAACATCACGTTTCAACACGGACCTTAGCAAGTCTGAGACACAACTCACTTGCCAATAAATTCCACTCAGGAAAGTAGTATGTCATGTTTAGTCCTCAGATTATCACCATGGAATTGATTATTGCTGACCTAGGATCGATCTCACACGTTTGATACCAATTATCTCACATTGGATTCCCACGTACAGGTGTGTAAGACAATGAGGAGGAGGATAATGGTGATGCTAAAGATAACTGAATGTCATGGGACGAGGACGATAATAATTTCGGCAGTGATAATGATCACATGTCACGATAACATAGGCTAGCAGTGATAATGATCACATGTCACGATAACATAGGCTAGCAGTGATAATGATCACATCACAATGATAAGTGATAATGATCACATGTCACGATAACATAGGCTAGGCTAGCAGATAACATGATAATGATCACATGTCACGATAACATAGGCTAGCAGTGATAATGATCACACGTCACAATAACATAGGCTAGCAGTGATAATGATCACATGACAATAACATAGGCTAGCAGTGATAATGATCACATGTCACGATAACATAGGCTAGCAGTGATAATGATCACATGTCACGATAACATAGGCTAGCAGTGATAATGATCACATGTCACAATAACATAGGCTAGCAGTGATAATGCATGTCACAATAACATAGGCTAGCAGTGATAATGATCATGTCCACGATAACATAGGCTAGCAGTGATAATGATCACATGTCACGATAACATAGGCTAGCAGTGATAATGATCACATGTCACAATAACATAGGCTAGCAGTGATAATGATCACATGTCACGATAACATAGGCTAGCAGTGATAATGATCACATGTCACGATAACATAGGCTAGCAGTGATAATGATCACATGTCACGATAACATAGGCTAGCAGTGATAATGATCACATGTCACGATAACATAGGCTAGCAGTGATAATGATCACATGTCACATAATAACATAGGCTAGCAGTGATAATGATCACATGTCACGCGATAACATAGGCTAGCAGTGATAATGATCTAGTCAGTGATAAATGTCACGATAACATAGGCTAGCAGTGATAATGATCGCATGTCACGATAACATAGGCTAGCAGTGATAATGATCACATGTCACGATAACATAGGCTAACAGTGATGAAATCAATGATTAACGTTATGATAAAATGAGTGAGTGAGTTTATTTTTACGCTGCACTCAGCAATATTCCAGCCATGTGGTGGCGGTCTGTAAGTTATCGAGTCCGGACCAAACAATACAGTGATCAACAGCATGAGCATTGATCTACGCAATTGGGATACGATGACATATGTCCCCATCCCGTTAGTCGCCACTTAAGACAAGCATGGGTTACTGAAGACCAATTCTAACCCGGATCTTCACGGGGAGACAAGCATGGGTTACTGAAGACCAATTCTAACCCAGATCTTCACGGGGAGACAAGTATGGGTTACTGATGACCAATTCTAACCCGGATCTTCACGGGTCATGAAAAGATGACAACACCAGTATGCTAATGATGACTTAAAGTCATGATACCATGAAAATGAACCTGTTAAGAACGTAGCCTGTATGTCAAGTGTAGAGTGGCAGCAGGTTGCCATTGAAAGGATTCCTATTGATGCATGTTTGTGACAATCAATTCCCACATTACCCCATCTCAAAGCACAGCTGTCGCATAGCCTTATAATGTAAACACATACTTAACGATTATTTCTCTGTGCTGCTGAGAAATAAATCTTGTTATGCACAGCTGACAATGGAAGAATGTGTTTTAATATTCCAGGCCTTTTTACAGGGCTGAAAATGTAATAACAAGAAGGATGTGGTGATTGTGTAGTGCTCTGAAGTATTGTACAGATCTGTGCACTGAGTCAGTGCAGGTCGACCTGAGGAACACTATACTGTATTAGAAATAGGGGAGGTCATTGTGTGCAGTATGCAATATTTTCTTTATACATTATGGATCCAGAGATCATATGTATATATAGTACATTTGCTGATGTCCCTACGCCTTGCATGAAATCATCTGTGCGCAGATGTGCAGTGGTAACACACGTCTGCAGCTGGCAATAACATCTACTTCTGGAATCATCAGGAAAGGCATATAAATCTTGTGACAGTGGTTTTCAAAGATATTCCATTTATTGTAAAATGGAAAACATAAATGTTGAAATAGAAATTTAATTATCTTTTTCACTACCTTTATGTCCCGAGGAATCCACATGATTCAGGGCAAGGTGAGACGATAATATTTGAAGCATGTTAATCCAGTAACACAGTTTTGTTGTATGGAATATGTTATACAGTCTTGCTTTCATGTTGAAATTTAATTTACCAAGTCAGTTTGAAATCAATTTCATTGGCTTATTAAAACAAAAATGGACAAATATCAATATTTGCACTTCATTAGAAGGCTGCTTGAGTGGGGTCCAAGGTATAGCTGATCTCCTCTGAGGTGCAGGCTCGGAGAGTGGTCCTGCTTCCGCTCAGCTATGTGCGGATGTCAACAACTTTTTCAGCGCTGAACAAGATATTGCATCACTGCGGGGCTGCGATCTATCTCGGGGTGTCACAGAGCTACGAATTATCACTTATTTGAAAGCAGGCTCATGATTGGATCAATAATGTTTTTGTTTGTCTCTTTTTCAGAAGAGAGGGAATCTTCAGCCATGATGAAAGCTCTGTCACTTCGCTTCCAAAAATACTTCAGTTTCGGCAGGATTGTACAACCATCTTCGGCAGGTCTTCGTGGTCTTGGAATGGAAAAGTTTTACAAGGACATGCCTACTCTGCTTGTTCTCATGACCAGTGGTGGGGAGAGTATGGAATCCCCACAATTCAACGCCATACCTTTGATAAGAAAGCAATGGGAGAATTTAACTATCCCAACATTTTAGCGTTTTTGTTTTCCGTTAATCGTGAGTTCCGTCACCTCATGCCGGGGGACAGTGGGTCTGATCGGAGGGAGACAGTTGAAATGGACGATGTTGTGGAGATTGAGTCACTGAGGTTTGATGTTAAGGGCCTCCATCACTCAACAGGGAGCAAAAAAGTTCTTTATGAGGAAGTCAGTGACTTGCAGATGGAAGAGACTATTCACAAAAGAATACCTGATGAATTGTAGAGCACAACATCTGAGTCAGCATATTGTATTATCTGATATAATCCCTTCATACCCTCTAATGCAAATTCCTATAATGTACGCATCTAACAACTAAAATGTCTACACATGATGTTTACTGCTATAATATCCATATGGTTTTATTAAATGTTATCCACATGACAACACGGGCTATAATATACTATGTACCTAGACATTAACAGCTATACTATCAATGTTATTGTAAGATATAATACAATAATGGTAACGTACATGACAACATTGGCTGTAATATGTATGTAGACAATAACAGCTATACTATCAACTTTATGTTTACAGATATAATATAATATGGTTATGTACATGACCTAAATAGGCTGTAACATATGCATTAGACATTAACAGCTATAATATCAACGTATGATGTCTACAGCTATGATACCTACACATTCTTTGACAAACATAATATCTACAAATGATGTTACCAGCTGAAATATCAGCATCTATTGTTAAAGTCTATCATAATTTTGTAAGATATTAACACACCATCATCCATGTATATCATCAGCTATATTATCCTTGACAAATATTTTCAGTGGTTATATTTAGGTATGATGTTAATAGCTATAAATATGAAGGTATCATACAAACTGTAATGACTAATGTAGTAATGATGGTAACAGCCATAATATGTAGGTATGATGGTAACAGCCATAATATGTAGGTATGATGGTAACAGCCATAATATGTAGGTATGATGGTAACAGCCATAATATGTAGGTATGATGGTAACAGCCATTATATGTAGGTATGATGGTAACAGCCATTATATGTAGGTATGATGGTAACAGCCATTATATGTAGGTATGATGGGCCATAATACAGCCACAGCCATAATATGTAGGTATGATGGTAACAGCCATTATATGTAGGGATGATGATAACAGCCATTATATGTAGGTATGATGATAACAGACATTATTTGTTGGTATGGTTGTAAGAGCTATAATATCTGGGTATGATATGACAACCATTATATGTTGGTATGGTTTTAAGAGCTATAGACCACCTCCGTGGTGTAGTGGTTAGATTGTCCGCCCGGAGAGCAGAAGGTCATGGGTATGATCCCTGGCCGCGTCATACCAAAAGACGTTAAAATATGGTACTTGTTGGTCCCTGCCTAGCGCTCGGCATTAATGGGTACAACAAGAACTGGTTGGCTCGGAGTCAGTATAATGTGTCTGAGTGGGATATTCATGCTTCACTGCGGCATGGTATCTCAGTGAGCTAGCACTATAAAACCAGCTTCAGTCTGGGCTAGTGCAAGCTGTCACACATACACATGCATGTACATCATCATATGAGCGAAATATTCTCAAGTCCGACATTAAACCCATTTCACCTCACCTCAGCTCACCATCAAGAGCTATGATATCAGGGTATGATGTAACAGCCATGGAATGAGGGCAAAGGATATCTTGCCATGAAGATGAATGAGAGGTGTTGTTGTGGAGCTTCCATGACACGATGTTGACATTATATTTCAATCTCATGAATTTTTCCTTTTATTTTGTCCTCTGAAACTGCAAAATTGATGAGGAGTAAAGCGTGTTTATTTTGATATTAATAAAGAATGAAGTTCAAGCCAATCTCATAAGAAAACATCATCGTGAAACTGAATCTCTTTGTGCTGGCAATTCATTAATATTTATTGAATTAAATGTGGATCGTACAAAGTTGAGCATTACAAATCAAACTTTAATGTGCCATAAACACTTTGATCTGAAAAGAATAATCCACAAGGGACCAATTACTACAAACAATTTTGCATAATTTCCAAGTTCTATATGCTGAATGTGTGGTGCTCCTATGTCAGAGTATCAAGTAGTCAACTCCGAGGGGTAAGTCCACAGCTATATTTCAGCTGCTCACCACATCAAATATGGTAAAAAAAAACAATTATGATTTTTAATCTAGTGTCTCACTGACTCACCAGATATTGTCACAAAAACAATTTCCTTTAGCTTGCCATTAGATCTGTTTTGTAATGCTGCCTGAGGTTTATTCAGGGTTAATCATCTGACATGAGTACACTTTTGTTTCATCTATTTTTGGACAAGTGCATATATTTACTTTAGTCTGAAGGCTAAAACCTGATTGTTTGGTTTACTTAGCTGAGCTGAGTTCTCCGCACTATTATTTTAGTGTTTGGGTTATGGTGCTGACAGGGCTTGTTCAAGGTCAGGTGCTTTCCATACCAGACTGATGTTAGTTGAAGTAATACTTCATTGATGTTAGTTGAAGTAATACCAGACTGATGTTAGTTGAAGTAATACTTCATTGATGTTAGTTGAAGTAATACCAGACTGATGTTAGTTGAAGTAATACCAGACTGATATTAGTTGAAGTAATACTTCATTGATGTTAGTTGAAGTAATGACAGACTGATGTTAGTTGAAGTAATACTTCATTGATGTTAGTGGAAGTAATAGCAGACTGATGTTAGTTGAAGTAATACCAGACTGATGTTAGTTGAAGTAATACCAGACTGATGTTAGTTGAAGTAATAGCAGACTGATGTTAGTTGAAGTAATACCAGACTGATGTTAGTTGAAGTAATACCAGACTGATGTTAGTTGAAGTAATAGCAGACTGATGTTAGTTGAAGTAATACCAGACTGATGTTAGTTGAAGTAATACTTCATTGATGTTAGTTGAAGTAATACCAGACTGATGTTAGTTGAAGTAATAGCAGACTGATGTTAGTTGAAGTAATAGCAGACTGATGTTAGTTGAAGTAATACCAGACTGATGTTAGTTGAAGTAATACCAGACTGATGTTAGCTGAAGTAATACCAGACTGATGTTAGTGGAAGTAATACCAGACTGATGTTAGTTGAAGTAATAGCAGACTGATGTTAGTTGAAGTAATACTTCATTGATGTTAGTTGAAGTAATACCAGACTGATGTTAGTGGAAATAATACCAGACTGGCATTAGTTGAAGTAATACCAGACTGATGTTAGTTGAAGTAATACTTCATTGATGTTAGTTGAAGTAATACCAGACTGATGTTAGTTGAAGTAATACTTCATTGATGTTAGTTGAAGTAATAGCAGACTGATGTTAGTTGAAGTAATACCAGACTGATGTTAGTTGAAGTAATACCAGACTGATGTTAGTTGAAGTAATACCAGACTGATGTTAGTTGAAGTAATAGCAGACTGATGTTAGTTGAAGTAATAGCAGACTGATGTTAGTTGAAGTAATAGCAGACTGATGTTAGTTGAAGTAATACCAGACTGATGTTAGTTGAAGTAATCATTGATGTTCATAATGATGATGTTAGCTGAAGTAATAGCAGACTGATGTTGATGTTGATGTTAGTTGAAGTAATACCAGACTGATGTTAGTTGAAGTAATACCAGACTGATGTTAGTTGAAGTAATACTTCATTGATGTTAGTTGAAGTAATACTTCATTGATGTTAGTTGAAGTAATACCAGACTGATGTTAGTGGAAGTAATACCAGACTGGCATTAGTTGAAGTAATACCAGACTGATGTTAGTTGAAGTAATACTTCATTGATGTTAGTTGAAGTAATACCAGACTGATGTTAGTGGAAGTAATAGCAGACTGATGTTAGTTGAAGTAATACTTCATTGATGTTAGTTGAAGTAATGACAGACTGATGTTAGTTGAAGTAATAGCAGACTGATGTTAGTTGAAGTAATAGCAGACTGATGTTAGTTGAAGTAATACCGGACTGAAAAGTAATGTCAAATTTTTGTGCTTAATTTGATTTGTTTAATCATAGACTGAAAGCAGTTTTATTTAATGAATATAAACATACTGTAACAAAGATACTTTACAGCAGATTGTGAGTTGCCCTCCACAACTACAACATCTCCCGTTGCTGGGTTAAAGACCTAATGTAAACAATACTATGTTATATCAGAACCACTGTTCACTTCCTCTGATAATAATAGGGGCGGTGGGGTAGCCTAATGGTTAAAGCGTTGACTCGTCACGACGAAGACCCGGGTTCGAATCCCCACATGGGCACAATGTGTGAAGCCCATTTCTGGTGTCCCCCGACGTGATGTTGCTGGAATATTGCTAAAAGCGGCGTAAAACCAAACTCAGTCAGTCAGTCAGTCCTCTGATAATATACTTGATGTGACTAATTCTCCTTATCTTGTTTTGATAAAAATCTGTTAATTAGTTCCTACCTGCTTCATATAACGTTGTAATGGTGTTTTTTAGGTTTCAGTTAGCCTCCATGTTTGACTGGCATCATTCACCTCACTTAATGTAGCCGGGTCCTGCCTCCCCATAATGTGATCTTCATGGAGTTGTGGACTCCTGGTATCTGGAAGCAGAGACAGGCAAGATGCTGGTGGGAATCTGTGCCTCGTCAAAAGTTAATATCCATTTAGGATTGAAGGAGTGAATGAGTATGGTTTTATGCCGCGTTTAGCAATATTTCAGCAGTATCACGGCTGGGGACACCAGAAATGGGCTTCACCCATGGTACCCTTGGTGGGGAATCGAACCCGGGTCTTTGGCGTGATGAGCTGGCGCCTTAACCACTAGGCTACCCCACCGCCCTCATTTAGGATTGATATTTGATGGCACTCCCTAACTTCCTCGGCTGAAAATGTCAGCATTGTGCCAGTCATCATGTTTGCTGTTGTTGGTTCTCACCACACAGCAATATTCCAGCTCCATGATGACAGTCTGTAAATAATCAAATCTGAATCGGACAAACCTGTGACTGATATCCTGAGCAGCAATCAACCAGTATCGTAATGTCACACAATGAATCAAGTCAGCAAGCATGAGCACCTGATCCAATATGTCACCTGTTATGACATGCATCAGTAGTAAATACTGGTGATAGTACAAACAGGAATCCATGTTGAGTGCGTCAGTATGTTTCGTATAACTCGGTATGCAGTATTCCGCTTTCAGGAAAACCTGTGATTGATATCACAACCAGCACTCAGAGCTGTTACGATATGAACACACGCCATGAGCCTTATTCTGCGCATGACCGGCTTACCCTCAATGTGTTCGACTTGTGGAAACATGGTGTACTGGTGGGAGTTTTGTTGCTTCATACAAGTCTTCATGGCTTAACTGTTGGTCATGTAGAAGGGTCCACTTTCCTACTCCAAATGGGACATGTTGGTCATTGAGAAGCCTGTTATTCTAAAGGGCTCCTGGGGGTCATAGAGTGTCTTACCAACAAGATGGCACATGTGGGTCATTGAGAAGCCTGTTATTCTAAAGGGCTCCTGGGGTTCATAGAGTGTCTTATCAACAAGATGGCACATGTTGGTCATTGAGAAGCCTGTTATTCTAAAGGGCTCCTGGGGGTCATAGAGTGTCTTATCAACAAGATGGCACTTGTTGGTCATTGAGAAGCCTGTTATTCTAAAGGGCTCCTGGGGGTCATAGAGTGTCTTACCAACAAGATGGCACATGTGGGTCATTGAGAAGCCTGTTATTCTAAAGGGCTCCTGGGGTTCATAGAGTGTCTTATCAACAAGATGGCACATGTTGGTCATTGAGAAGCCTGTTATTCTAAAGGGCTCCTGGGGGTCATAGAGTGTCTTATCAACAAGATGGCACTTGTTGGTCATTGAGAAGCCTGTTATTCTAAAGGGCTCCTGGGGGTCATAGAGTGTCTTACCAACAAGATGGCACATGTTGGTCATTGAGTGTCTTACCAACAACATGGTACTTGTTACCCTGCCTTTTACTCAGCTATAAGGGAATAAAAGAAGGAAGTGCTGGCACAGAGTCAGTAGGTCTTGTCTGAGTGGAATCCATGCTACACAACAGCATGATGGCTAGCACTTCAACACTGGCATTACTCTGGACCATTTCTCCTCACCAAAGGTGCAGCATGTTTGGTGGAGCCGTTTCCTACTTCAGGAGCGTGTTTATGTTTGGATGCTAGATATGTTTTCAGTTGCTGGTTAATTTACTGATGTTTTGAAATTTTAATTGTTCTCAGCTCGTATTCAGTATGATGCTATCATTGTGTTTCTGTCTACTGAAGGTATTGGCATCATTTAACATACAGACTCACAGAAAGCACATTTTGACAAGTGTTCAAATGCACATGCACCAGTAGCATATTAACCTACTTTAAA